AAAAATGATAATGTGTTATTGAAAAAATTTTGAATCTTGAAAAATATGTAATTGAAATCTTTTGTTAACTTTACTTAAATTAAATCTAAAATTCCCCATTACCAAACGGGGGCTAGACATAGTATGTTAGATTTCTCCAAGAATCTTGTCCTCAATGTGATAACCATTAATCCTCAACATTAACTATATTATTTCTCTTTCTTTTTAGCGTTTTTGAAAAGAGCTATATTCTTATCAACGTTAGAGTATCTCTAACAGATTTTCTATTTTTAAAAAGCATATTTAATTTAGAAAGTATCTACAAATTTAGACAGTAAAAATTTATAATTAATATAATAGACTCTTTATCTTTAATACTTAATTTTATACTCCCAAAAATATTTATTATTTTTCCTTATCTTTTATTTTCATTAGCTTCCCTTAGAATTATTATATTATTTTCATTCGTTGAAAATTAAAATACTTTGAATGCATTTAATTATAGAGAATGAATTTGATTCTTCAAATTTGGATGGTTAAACCCGCTCCCTATTTTAAAATGTTAATTTAAAGTGACTTTTAGAACATAATTTTAAACTTTTTAAAAATAGAAAGAATCTTATATTTAAAGAGTTTTTTGAAAATGCTTTTATGTATTCATAAAGTTTTACAACCACACGGAAGGAAATAAACTTCGTCTCGATATGATCGAATAATAAGTGGAGAACCAATTATGCAAGTTCCTAGTAATAACCTTAAAAGGAAAAATTAATAAAAAAAACAATTTAGAAATTTAGGGAAAAAAAAAATATATATATATAGACACATTTTACAACATTGATCACTAAGTTTGACTTTGACATTTTCCAAACAACAAGAAACCTAGACTGCGATCTTCTACATCCGAGCGCTCAAACATCCCTAAACAGCAGCCACAAATTCTGTTCCAATCGTTCTCTAACCAATTAAAATCATCCACGTATCAGTGTCTGGCCGACGTGTATAACAGATAATTGCGACGTGTGTTAAATGGCATATCCCCTCACGTTCTATTCTCAAGCAACCCCAACCTCTCCTGTTACATTCGCTGTGATTTTCTCCAATTTGAACTAATGCTCGGCTTATGCGTATAAATGATTTATTACCACTCAAGTCATTTTTTATTTATTCATTTCAAAATATTCCAAGTACTACTTATTTATTCAAAATTCATAGTTGAACTTGCGTTACACATTATTCTGAAATATTTTATAAGTGATATAAAAGTAATAACTGAAGATGTGAATATAAAAAATAATTAATACAAGTTGTTTATGTGGAATGAACTTTTTAGTCATCGAGTAATATTATATCGTGAAAAAGCTCGAGCATATCATGCAATTATCGTGGAATTTTGAATCTCATAGATTGCACCAACTTTTACAACAACAACAACAACAACAACAATAATAATAATAATAATAATAATAATAATAATAATAATAATAAAAGCTTCTAATAAATGATGATGATAATTGTATTAATATCTCTATCAATTTCCCCCATGTTCAAGAACATCGCGCGATAAGCCCCCCAGGATACATCTAAGTTGGCGGAACAATCACATTGGGGGACTCTGAAACCAAGCGTGGAGAGTTCGATTTCTGGTGGGAACCTTTGATCCAATAAAGGAGGAATTATTGGTGGATTAATCACCATGGAGGAGGCTCCCTTTGGGGAAGAAGTAAAAGTCATGTGGGAATCTGGGAACCAACAAGGGCACATCCTGCGATTTACCTCCCTGAGCAGCTGAGGGGCCGGAGGTTCAGGAACGAGAATATAGTCTGGCGCAAGCTGGGACACCTCGTTAAAAAAAAAAAAAAAAAAAGAACATCGCGCGATAATTTTTCTGATTCTTATTTAGTACTCTGTGCATAGGAGGATCCTTTTCAAGTCCTTGAGATCTTTCAAAATCTGTTATATCTGTGGTTTATACAACCAAATTATTGCCCACCTAAAAAATATATATATTATGACCATTCGAAGAAAATTTTCAAAAGAAAAGGCCCGTCAAATAAATTCCAAAAAAGTTGATGAGTAAGATGTCTAAATTATTCGTGAAAATAGTTTAAATAGTTGAGAGATCAATTCATTTACGTTGAATACTCATGTGAACTATCAAATACATTCATGAACATGGAATCTAATTATTTTAAATTAATGAATTTAGAAAAAATAATAATTACATACTTGTGATCTTGAAAATTAATTTAAACAAAATGGTGTGTACGTCAACTTGGAGAATAATATGTATCGAAAATAAAACGAGTAATTTTGAAAATGAATGAGTGTACGTGAATTTTAATAATTTATTTACTCCTAAATTAATTGAATAGTCTCGAAAATATATAAATTGTATATGAACTTGAGAGAGTTAATCTCTTTGGAGAATCTTATTCATCAAACCCGCCAATTACATACGTACATATTCGCTAGTGCAAGACAAAGGCTTTGAAAAGGGGTAGGAGGTTTTAATTGGAAAAATAATTGTTAATTATTGGGTATATAAACGATTTATGGAATGTGAGAGGATTTTTAATTGGAAATTAATACATATTGAAAAACGAAAAGTAAAGTAAAAAGGAAAATTATAATATTTTTAGAATAATTGAATTATAGTAAGGATAAAATCGCTCCAAGAATTATTCTCACTTGATGTGATATTTAATAACTTATTATTATAGATTATTCATTTTATCTATTTACAATTTTATCAATTTATAAAGACTTCCAAAATATATGCTTCTTCCATCCCAATTATATAGACTTGTGTCATTTTTCGTACAGATTAAAAAAATTTCTTTAATGTCATTGAAAAATTAATTTTTGCTAAAATCTTTCATAATTTACCCCTATTTAATTTTTAGTATGTAGTAATAAATTATTGTTGAAATTAATAAAGAATTTGAATGATTTAATTTGAAGAATAAGAAATGATAGTTGTTTAATGTTTCCAAGAAGTGGAAAATGTATGTATCTGAATGATTTCAAGAAGTTAGCATTTCAAGTGGAGAAAATTGAATAAGGGTATATTGATAAAGAAATAAAATGAAATATTCTAAATTAAGAAACAAATAATATATATATATATATACAAGAGAAAAATGAAACCCAGCCTATATAATTTGGATGAAATGAGTAATATATTATCACATCAAATGAAAATCATTTTTTGGACGATTTTAACCATAATACAATTCAATTATTTCAATAATATCTTATTTTTCATTTCTCAATATATATATATATATATATATATATATATATATGTCGGACAAGAGAAAAAGGAAACTCAACCTATATAATTTGGATGGAAGGAGTAATATATTATCACATTAAGTGAAAATCGTTTTTGGACGATTTTAACCATAATGCAATTCAATTATTTCAATAATATCTTATTTTTCATTTTTCAATATGTAGTAAATAATACAATTTCTTGTCATGTATGAATTTCGGGTTATTAATTCTTAATCAATTGATATTCACATTAATCTAGACTGGATGAATCTTAATCTACCTCTACATGTATTTGGAGTTATTATAGATGAATTTATTTCTATTCATGTTATCTAGAAAATTTAACGAATATTTGAATTCATATATTAGCAATTAATTCTTACATAACAAATTTACCACTCTCTCTATCTCATTTATATAGGCTGATTTTGTTTTTCACACAAATTAAGAAATCGTATTTAATGTTATTAAAAAATCAATTTTTGCCAAAAATTTCCTAATTGTCCCTTAATTATATTTGCACAATTTTCATGATTAAGTGGAAAAAATTAGTTATAAATAGCTAAACTAAATAGGGGTATATTAGTAAATAAAACAAAACATTTTCAATAAATAAATAAAACTATATAATTGAGACAATAAAATAAGGAAAGACAACATATATGAATGAGACAGAGGAAGCATAAATAAGTTATTCATTTGTAATATTTAATCATCATAAAAATTTTGAATTATATAAGTTGAGTTTTAAGAGCATAATGTTTTTCTTAAATTTCTCTTGTAAATTTTTTCTTTAAAGCGTTTGAGATTCATCAATTTTTCCCAACAAATTGACATTAAATATTAGTTTTACAATACTTATAAAATATTTTGAAATAAAATGCAATGCACATTTAATTCTGACTAATATGTTCTAAATGGTAATATGAAGATGCTACGACTAAAAAAATTAGTTGTAGATCAATGAACTTACACAAGTCTATGATTTTAGGTTGCTAGCCTAACTTCTACTTATTTTAATTTGATCATTTAGTTTATATTTTTTTTTTCAATTTGATCATTAAAACCTAAATTTGATTATTGTGTCTCTAATTGTTACCAAAATATGTCCAAATTTTAGTATTGTCCAAATTAAACCGAATAAATTGATTGAATCGAATTAATAGGTCCAAAAATAAATCAGGATATAATGAAATTAAAAAAAGATTAAAACTGTTAAAATAAGAAACAAATCGATCGATTCACTCATTAATATATATTTATTTTTTAAAATTTTTATTTATCTATTTAGCTTTTTATTATCGATTCAACTTCAATCCAACCCCATGGCCCTTAACATTCTTCCATTTATGCTTTAGGTCAATATTCCGAACGATTTTGAAAACATTAACTTGTATAAATGGTATTTGCCACCATGGAAAATTCACTTCATGGTAAAAAAAAAACACGTGGTATTTTAGCATATTAAGAATTGTGTTGCCGAATATATATGATGAGTCATTACGAGAATTAGGTTAAGAATTTACCCGTTTTAACCGTTATGAACAAAATTATTAAATTAAAAAAATAATAATAATAAAAGTTGAGATCAACAAAAAATAAACATGTAAATTATGTGAATTCAAGTGAAATTTTCTTATTTTGTAACTTACGATTTATTCTCACCGTAGATAACTGTATAGAAAAGCACAGGAGTCACTCGTCCCTACCATTTTCATCTATAAAAACCCAATTAACGCGTTGATTCTTTCCCCTTCGCTCTCTCCCCCAAAACATTTCGTCTTTGTGTGTCTCTCTCTATACGTATATTCACAGACGCGCAAAATATATACTCGTATACTCATTTTCTATCTCTAATGGAGACGGCCGTGCAGATGGAGGAGCTGACGTCGGGTGCGAGCGGCCGGATAATTCCGCTATTCAGAAACCTTCGGCAGTCAATTCTATCATACGATGCCTTAAGAAAATCATTTCTATTAATTTACTCGTACTTCGTCTGGATCCTTCTCCTCCTACCTCGACGCCACCGCCTGGCCACATCGCCTCCATCATCCCCCACGGTGGTGGCGGCGACGGTGAAGCGGAGGAAGTTTGGACTAAGGAGAGATGAGGAGGATACGTTGAGGCGCAGGGCCCTTGCTGAGGCTATAGAAATGGTGGTGGAGGATTCCGGTGACAGTAACAGTCTGTGCCAGTGGAGTACCTCGTTGTTTTTTGGTACTCGACACAATGCTCTGTTCTGCAGGTCTTGGTTCCCGGCTTCCGGTGACTTAAAGTACGTTTTTCTTATTAAGAATTTTGATTATCGAGATTCGCCATTTGATTGTTAAAGTTTTGTTTAATAGTGTATCAATTCTCTTGTTGTTAATCCGTAGTTTAATTGGTCAGTATTGTATTCGAATTAGAAGCACGGTCTTTTTAAATACTTTTTTTTTTTTTTAAATTATGTGTACATTCATATACACGTTTTGGAAAATTATTAGTGAGTTGGGTTTCTGATGGAAGAAAGAGAGAATTTTGTGTAATTGATGACTCCGAATGTATAATTTGCTTGCTTTTTCTTCCTTCTTTGATTTTCTGTTGATCCCTGGTGGAATAGTTTTGGTTGTGCTTCATTAATTTTGTTGACATTGGAAATACCGGGACTTCCATGTTGACTGTTTTATTAAACTTTTTCCCCAAACTGTGCAAAAAAGAACAGTGCTTTCTGTGAAAGGGGAAGATGGCTAACCATACTCCGATGTCAAAGTTAAGTTTTTAGTGAATTTTGTTCGGGTAAGAAAATTAGCAGAATTCTGGCTTGGGCCTTGGGAAGATACGTATGTGTAACTGAAGGGTGATGTCCCTGTTATAGTTCAAAGGAATACTGCCTACAGCTTCATCTTTGCAAAGAAAATATGCGAATTCTATGTGCATTTGTTTGTAATCCACTGCATCGAATTCTTAATTTTCTAATAAAATACTGGAAAGCTGGGATTTACTGTACAAGAAACGGATGAGGGCTTCTGCAGTTGATGTCTTATTATTATTTTATTTTATTTTTATTTTATTATTATTATTATTATTATTATTTTTTTTTTTTTTGGTGTGGTTTTCATCCCTTCCCTCTACAAAATGTACAGTTACCATGTTATTTGCTGCCTTTAGTTTGCTTTCTGGACTTCTCTCTTAAAGACCATTTTTCATTTTCAGGGGTATTCTGATCATCGTACATGGACTTAACGAACACAGGTCTGGCCTAATCCGTTAGGACTCTGTTTTACTTGTTCTCTTTTCATATTATTCTTCTTGTGTAACATACACTGTTCTTGTGTTCTATTTTCAGCGGACGATATGCTTATTTTGCTAAACAATTAATCTCCTCCAACTTTGGGGTCTATGCGGTGGACTGGACAGGTAAGTATTTGGAAGATTTTTTCCAACTCTTTAGATTATCTCTGGAACTCCTCTCTTAATCTGTTTCTAAGAAGCCATGAACTTGAATTGATTTTTATTCAATATCAGAACATTATCTGAATATGTTGCAAGGCATTTGCAAAGTTCTGTTCATGGTCTTACCATAAGTGGCCCTTTTTTTTTTAAGAATAAAAAATTGTGAATAATGAAATGAACAAGCATCGTTGTTAATTCACACCAATTTCTGTCTGATTAGTTGACTAAATTATTAATCCCTAAGTGATATATAGTTGATGCTCTGATTCTATTTCACATTTACTCGTGTTGAATAGCCCTTTATTGATCTTTATTTTTCCATGCTCTGCTTTATCAGAGACTTCAAAAGGATTTATCATTTTGGCTTTAAGATTGGTAAACTGAGTATCTGTGGCATTATAATTTGTTTTGATGAGTTGGGATGTTTGTTTGTATCTCTCCCTAAAAGAGTTAATTTCTTTCATAGGTCATGGGGGAAGTGATGGATTGCATGGATATGTACCTTCATTGGATCACGTTGTTGCAGATACTGTAAGTGCAACTTTATGTATCATTCCATACTCATCTTGGCCTCTTGGCAGTGACTTCTGTTATCCCACCCTACGTAAAGGTCCTCCCTCAGACCAACATAATCTTTGGCTGTCATTCATTGGAGTGATTATATGTTGTTTCGTAATAATATGAAATAAATAAAGCTGGATATAATGATAATGCATTTTGCTATTTTAACAGGGGGCTTTCCTGGAAAAGATCAGATTGGAGAACCCTGGAGTACCATGCTTCCTATTTGGTCATTCAACTGGAGGGGCAGTGGTTTTGAAGGTAAGGCTTGTTGGAGAATTACGCAATAGACTAGATACTTTCTTCTTCTTCGATTTTCTTCATTTCGTTTTTTTGGTAAGTTCTTTGAACTTCCATGATCTAGGGTCTTACTATCGAATGCTGGATTTCTGCTCGTATTATATAGGCTGCTTCATATTCACATATAGAAGAAATGTTGGAGGGAATCATATTGACCTCACCAGCTTTGCGTGTCAAGCCAGCTCATCCTATTGTTGGGGTAAGTCTTTACGTTCCTTCTCGTCTTGATTTTTGAAGGATTTGTCACTGATTAGAGACGGTCTATTTGATTAAGCCTATGTTTGGCAATCATTAGTTCAAAACTCTTTTTTCTACATAATCATATTCAAGCATACATTCACACACAATAAAATATTATACACGTAAACCCAAAACTTTGCTCTACTTTTTAACCACACCTCCTAAAGATTACTATTCAAAACATTGTTTTTCCCAGATAATAATAGTTGTCAAACAGAGGCTAATTCTGCTGAACTCCCTAACCTTTTTTTCTCTTGCCTTGAAAATGTATTCCCTTTTTTCTCTTTACAAAGAAGGAAAAGCACCACAACTTCAGTTATATGCTTTCGTTAGCATATCTTGCTGATTATAAAGCTATAATTACCATGTGGAATCTCAGTTTTGGCACAATAAAGATTTTTTTGGTATACTTTTGTGCAGGCCTTGGCACCAATCTTTTCACTGGTGGCTCCTAGGTTCCAGTTCAAAGGTGCTAACAAAAAGGGCATCCCGGTTTCCAGGGATCCTGCAGCACTCTTGGCAAAGTACTCGGATCCATTGGTCTATACTGGACCCATAAGGGTCCGAACAGGCCATGAGATCTTGCGCATCTCTTCTTACTTGACCCGCAACTTCAAGTCCATAACAGTTCCATTCTTTGTCCTTCATGGAACTGCAGATAGAGTTACTGATCCGTTTGCCTCTCAGGATTTGTACGATGAGGCAGCATCCAAGTTTAAAGACATTAAGCTTTACGAGGGCTTCTTGCACGACCTCCTCTTCGAGCCTGAGCGTGAAGAAATTGCTCAGGATATCATCTATTGGATGGAGAAGCGATTAAGTGCATGCAACCCTGAAAATGTCAGTGGTTGCTGGTAAAGTTGTCAATCTATAGATGAATTGTTGAAATGGTGCCTGTATTTGAATTAGGAATGTTGCCTTTGATATTCTAATGTAATTAATTAATAATCACCATGAAGACTCGAGACTCTATTTCTATAGCATATGTGATGCATTCTTAAATGGACGATTCAATATCAGTATTAGGTATCTCCATTTATCATCTTTTATTGTCCAAATTGTTACGAGGAAAGAGAGAGAGTGTGTGTGTGTGTGTGTATATATATATTTGGGCAATAAAAGATGATAAATGGAGATACCTAATACTGATATTGAATCGTCCATTTAAGAATGCATCACATATGCTATAGAAATAGAGTCTCGAGTCTTCATGGTGATTATTAATTAATTACATTAGAATATCAAAGGCAACATTCCTAATTCAAATACAGGCACCATTTCAACAATTCATCTATCGTGTCTCTCATTCTTCTAAAACTCCTTTTTTCTAATTTTCAATTATTCACAACATAAAATATTTCACATGCAAACTCAAAAATTTTCCCACTTTATTTACACCTCCATCTGATTGACACGAGATTCCACGTCCCACTTTATTTATTTATTTATTTTGAAACATTTCCAGTCATTTTGGTCTTTTAACTATTTCTTTAATTTGTTTTTGTAAACTGACTCCATTGAGTTCACCACCAAAACAATATTCTTACAAAAAAATGCCCACCAAACGGGGCTAAATTGTTTTACATGATACCATGAATTAAAGCTACCAAAGGTACCTCCCCAGTCTTCAATGCTCAATGCCATCAGAAAATTTGGTAGTTTTCTAGTTAAACGAACAATAATTTTGTATTTCACATCTTTGGATTAGAAGAAAAATAGACAACTCCATATGTAGTCTAACAAAACTGGAAAACTTCCTTGCATGTAAAAATGGAGCTGCTTAGTGTTTAAATATTACTTCTCCATCTATCTCCATAATTTGGGTTTTTCTCCTCTAATCCACACATATAACTAGCAGCCCTTGACTTGTAGCTGCCCATCAGTATCAGCAGCCAACTTGACATTTGCAAAGCAATAATTTCACCAAGTTTCTGAAGGCCGCAGGGTTACCATCATGCAACCAGAAAAAGCTGGAACTTGAAAAGTGTCATTCGGATTTCCTGCGAATTCTCTTCTTTTGTTTCTCCTGCTCTCTGTACCTTCCACGACGTTCCTCTCTCTGGCGTTTCTTTGAAAGCTGCTCTTCCTTTAAGCGCTCCACTTCTTGTGCTTTCCTCTTCACCTCTTCCTTGAGCTTGCGCTTTTTCATCTATGAAAAGATTATTACGAATGTCAAAATACTTCTGAATCTGACAAAACATGTTTGCCTAAACGTCAAAAGAAAATTATAGCAATTACTAAAAGTAACTTTTTGTTTTCAAACATGATTGGAAATGTTACTTTTCACTAACTTCAAAGTACAAAAAACATTGCTAGCAAGTTAAGTAACTTATTTCCAAATTCAAAGTAAAATTCTTGCTTATTTACCGATAATTAAACTTTTTAAGCTTAGCCAAAACATGCTTGTCACTAAAGAAGAGTAAGTTAAGCACAATGTTTCTTTCAATTGCAATAATCTCATTCTAGGTTGCCAAATGAACACTAATGACAATTACCAGAAACCACCAGACTTCACATGAGAGATTCCACTTCAGCAATAAAAAAACTAAGACTAGAAAGGCTGGGTAGCATCATAGAATGGTATAATTCCAAATAACAAAAGGTCCAAACAAGCCATTTTCTCTTCTACATTTTAGTTTTCCAATAAATACCTTTTCATTTCTAATGAGCTGAAGGTGTTGAACAAGGGTGTGCACTTTTCGTTCATGAGGTTCCATAACAACAGCTCGCTTAGTTTCAAGGAGTGGTTGCTTTGGAGCAGGAATGTTCTTGGGCTTTGAGGCAAATGGCAGAGCTTCCTGTAGCGATGGGGGAATAACCAGTGGATTGAACTTCTTTGGCTTCCTTTCAATTGGCTGTTAAAGTAAAACAATACAAAAAATAAAAGGTAAGAATGCTGTACGCAGAAAGGAATGTATTTTGTTATTCCATGTCTTTCTTTTTTCTTTTTTCCTTTTTCTATTTTTTGGGGTAGGCTGGAGTACAAGAGGGAAATGAGTTTAAGACAGCAGCAAGTGCTCACCCGATACAGTGAATCCTTGTTGACAGGTACAGGAAGATTGTGTTCTCTCCTCAATTCAGCAACTGTTTTCATTCCTTGCCATGTCTTATCACGTGGCTGCAAGGCTGTTGTTAATGGATTGTAAAAGCAAGGTACTTCAACTTGAGTCCAAGCACGCAGAAACACAATGTCGCCCATTTTGATTTTATCCTCAAATGTGCATCTAGCAATGCCTTCTTTAGCATGACCGCCCTTCTTATATGACTTGTTACCAATCTCTTCTTTTGCAGCCTAAATCAAAACAACAGAAAAATAACAATGTCATATAAGTTCCTACTTCCAAAGCAATGCAAGTTTTCTAGCCGTCACAATCCCTATTAAGTATGTATAGTACAACAGTTGAACAAAGTTTGATGAAAAGGAACAAGAACAAGCACAAAGGAACATATATAGCACAACAATATTCAACTAAGCCTTATTCTCAATAAAAATGGGGTCAGATCACTACTATTACTTCATTGCTATTGCTCCATCTACTAAAAGATCTCGTGCAACTAAATTCTCGGCACCACATTAGAGCATGTTAGTAAGGTCTACACCTTTTCTAGCTTGCTCTACTAAGATCTCATCACTCTAAATAATGAAAGGCACTAGAGGTCTACACAAGACCTGTCCCCCACCACAACCAAGCCACAATTTACTTGTTTCTCCACAATTACTGCCACCTCTGCTTGTTGGGATGTGACAAATGAACTCATCCTGTATTAATTGAATTTTTAACTCGAACATTAACTTGTAAGTATTTGTTCTGTTGGCTGCACATGAGAATGTATCATTTCTACCATATACACAACAAAATTTTGGTACTTTATTTTATGCATTTTTCTTTTTCGCCCAACAAACTCTCATTGTTGACCTCCTGTAGAAAATGCTCGACAATTCCAATTATACGGAAACTTTTCCCAGCACCCTGTTCAGTGGATCCCCACCCCGAAAAAGATCAGAGATAAAAGAAAAGTTTCTTATAACTGTTTTCCTCTAATTGCCACTTCTTCCTAATGAATTAGACTTCCAGATTTTCATAGAATGTGGATAGTCCTGATTGATTCTATGATGATGGAAAGAGATTGAAGTAACAACGGAAACTAAACTTAACCATTGACAATTATGTGGGGTTTCAGGCTCAGGCGGTTAGTAAGATAGATACCTTTTTCACTTGCCCACGTATTTTACTAACAGTTCGCACAGCAGCACCTTCAAACCTGGCTACTTCAAGATCTGAAGTAAACATGCCCTCAATGAGAGCAGTCTTCTTGAAGACCTTAGTGGGATAACCAACAAGCTTGATCTTCTTCATTATCTTTGCAGCATGGTTAAATTCCAGCACTGTTGCAGTTGCTGTGATCCTAAATGTTGCCTGCAACAAAAACCAAGTCAAGAGGGAAAAGAAAACAAAAATTTATGTTTTTTTCTTTAAGGAAAATAAACAGTGAATTGCTACATTGAATAGTTATCAGCGGGTATAGAACCTCTAATTTGAAAAGGCAAATGTTTTGTTGGGCTTTGTTAAACATAACACCAGAATCTATAGCATCTCTAATTTGAACAAGCAAATGCTTTGTTGTGCTCTGTTAACATGAAACCAAATTCCATATGCTCCCCTTTGGAATCAATACAGTTGAATATCCATGCAATCTAACAAACTAAAACTATAAACATGCAGTACCAAAATGCTGGGAAAACCAGTGTTTCAAAAGCACCTGAGAAGCACGCTTGGGTTTCGCCTTATGGGAGGCATTCATTAGTAGCCTAAATGTGCTTACACTTTGAGTGGCATGTGTCAAGACTTGTGCCTCAAGCCACAAGCCTCAAGCAAGCGGGAGTGTGAGCCAATCGGCCCTCCACTTTTGAGATAACTGTGGGACCAATATCGGCCTTTTGGGCTGTTCATTTCGTCCCAGAAAATTTAAAGGTTTTTTGTGTTAAAGTAAACCCTCCATAAAAGGTAAAAAGAAAAGAATTTGATATTAGGGAAGTGATCCCACATGTGCTGTGCCCTAGCCTTCGAATTCAAAAACTGAAGTATGACCTCCGAAGTACTCGCAGTTTTTTTGAGGTAGATGACAAGTTATAAATACCTTACACTTTTCTTATCCTTCTTTTATATTTGACTAGGTGTTGTCTCCTCATTTTTCTCTTTCCTAGTTTAATTTTTCTTTAAAGTCAAAGCAAATAAATTCTTGCAAACAGCTGGCCGTCAGCCAATTGTTTCAGTTGTTTTAGACTTTCAGTTATGATTGTGGATTAGTCATCTCATTATGTGATCACTACCGTAGTAATTTATTATACTATGTTTTGTTGAGATCCGTTTTATGTTTGTAGTTGAATATTAGGCATTTAAGAAATGTTTTATTATAGATATTTTAGACAGTTTATGATTCATTATGAGCATAATTTGTATCTTTATAAAATTTTTGAATTTTATTAATCATTTAAGCGATTTTTATGACTCAAAGCACCATAGTTTTAAGACTCACATAACGAAAGCAAAATGCTTCAATATTCACTTTAGCCTTTCGAACACTAGTACAAATACACATTATGCACCGTGTACAAGGAAAAAGTAATAAATTCGATAATGGAAGTCATGCTTTGGAATCGAAAATTTCATGAACAATGTTAAGATAAGAAATGAGCAACGTAAAGAATTTAGTAGATGAAGCTATAAAAATATGAAATCATCAACATAAAGAATTTAGTAAATGAAGCTATAAAAATATGAAATGAGCAATATACAGATTATCTGTACTAATTTTGCAGACTTGACCCCTTAAAAGTCATTTTCCCTAGCTTAGCTTTCTGGTGCAATTTGGAAAATACTGTAATAGATTTCTTTAAAGAAAAAGGTCTCTCAGGTTGGTTAAAAGTCCTACGTTAAACAGGAAAAATCCCATTTCATTCAGGTTTTCAATTCTGAAATTCACATAGATCACCAGCCATGGTTATTATGCATTTAATTATTCAGTGCTCAAATTTGACAAAA